CACTACAAGATGGCAACTGTATACATATCATGGATGTATTTCTCAAAGTTCAATTCATATAAAACTCAGGACTCATAACCCTCTACACATTCAAGAGAGACCAAAGGCAAATTTAGATCTTAGAGTAAAACTTCATACTCGTATAATTTGTAAATCCTATACTTCATTATCCATTGTTTCTATTCCGTATGGCCATTCAAATAAAAGCAAATCTGTAGTTAAGTTTCACCTTGTAAACTGACTGAGAATGCCAGTTATGATAATTACTGATTATTTACTTACTCACTCATGGAGCTGAGCCCTTCTGGAGGAGCCGCCAATTCTGCAGCTACTCAAGAATTTCCCAGCATTTTATGGAACCCGAAGGTTCATGACCATGTTCACAAGAACCCTCCACTGGTCCTGGTCCTGAGCCAGATCTATACAATCCATACCATCCCATCCTATCTCTCTAAGATCCATTGTAATATTGTCCACCCACCTATGCCTTGATCTTCCCTGTGGTCTCTTTCCTTCTGGCTTTCCCACCAATATCCTATACGCATTCCTCGTCTCCCCCATTCGTGCTACATGACCTGCCCACCTCATCCTCCTTGACTTGATCATTCTAATTATACATGGAGAAGAGTACAAGTTATGAAGCTCCTCATTATGCAGTTTTCTCCAACCTCCTGTCACTTCATCTCTCTTCAGTCCAAATATTCTCCTCAACACCCTGTTCTCAAACAACCTCAGTCTGTGTTCCTCCCTTAATGTCAGAAACCAAGTTTCACACCCATACAGAACCACAGGAAAAATTATAGTTTTGCATATTCTAATTTTTATGTTTTTGGACAACAGATGAGAAGACAAAAGGCTCTGGACTGAATGGTAGCAAGCATTACCCGAGTTCAGTCGCCTCTTAATTTCCTTCTGAATCAGGTTTCGATCTGTTATTGTTGTTCCCAAATATCTGAACTGTGCCACATTTTCAAAACATCTGTTTCCTATCTTTATGTCATGATTTTGCCCTGCACTTTGTATGGCTGCAAAATGTGTACTGCTGTGGTTTCTTATGAATTTCCTCTGACTCTTCCTTGCAGACTTACACTTCACACAATGCTGTAGTTATATAAAACACTCATTGCACGAGATAACAGATAATAGTGTACAGAAAATAAATATCTTTGCCCAGAGTTTCACTTCGTGATGTACATTTAGTGACTGTGGGTCTTGTGTTTTATGCAGATATGAGGGAAGTCAATAAGTAAGTTACAAATGGATATAGAACTTATACAAATAAGAGTACTGATTTGAAAAATGCTTTTATTTCTCAACATAATCTCCCTGTACATTAAGGCACTTGTCACATCATTTCACAATCCCCTGAAAACCAGCAGCATAAAATTATTTGGGCTGCTGTCGGAACCAGGCAGTGACTTCCCTTTCTACAGCTTCATCATTGGGAAAATGTTCAGCCGAAAGATGATGTTTAAGAGGGCCGAACAAATGGAAGTCACTTGGAGCAAGACTCATCACCTGTGACAATTTGGGCTAGCATATCGTGTTCTTCATCGTGGTAGCGATTGAGATGCTATAATGCCAAGCCCATTCTTTGCATTTTGTGTTGTGGGTCACCATGTGCGGCACCCATCGTGCACAGACTTTGTGAAAACCTAACCTGTCATGGGACTTCCATTTGTTTGGCCCTCTTAAACATCGTCTTTTAGCTGAACGTTTTCCTGATGATGAAGCTGTAGAAAGGGAAGTTTCCGCCTGGTTCCGACAGCAGCACAAAGAATGTACAGGGAGATTATGTTGAGATATAAAAGCATTTTTCAAATCAGTACTCATATTTGAAGAAAGCAGTCTTCTGGGATTTGGCACCGTGTATATGTGGTGTTAACCGACGTTTCGGAGGAACGTATCGCCTCCATCTTCAGGGTAGAAGAAAAAGTATAAGAAATCTGCAAGCGACAAGACCGTGAGAATGGTAAAAGCAGACTGGAAAAAAAAAACAAAAAAAAACACCACATATACACGGTGCCAAATCCCAGAAGACTGCTTTCTTCATAGTCACTGCCGTGAAAGCCTCAAATCTTACACAGTACTCATATTTGTTTAAGTTCTCTATCCATTTGTAACTTACTTGTTGACTTACCCTCATACATTTAATTCCCGAGAGCTAATGTAAGGCAGATACTCTAAATTTAAAAGTAATGTCATTACTGCAGCTGATTGTATGGGAAAAGCAGCAGCAACTGATGCATTGAGCATGGCCATCAGATAGTCTCACTGTACAAAATAGAGTAGAACTTTTGGAAGGATGGAGAAGACTCGAGAATGCTTTATCATAAGCTGGCTTGTGCTCAAGGAAATGCCTATGATGATAAACAAGTATGATTAGTTGGGAAGATTATATGTGAATTAATCATGATAAATGTGTTGTGAAGCTGTTAACCTTTAACGTACAGACTTTTAAATTGCCGAAAGCCCTCTGCAGCCAGTGTTTAAATCACCCTAATTAATTAACATTGCAAACTTTCAGAAAAATACATACAGTATTTTCTGTTCTATGCAACATAGAAATACAAACTAAAAAGAACCTGAAAGACAGTAAAATTTTCTACATATACACAAAGGATCAATTTTTACAAATGAAAATTAACTGTGATTATTTTGTCATGAAATGCACAATATAATCTTTGTTATATATGTTATGAAATTCCAAAGGACTTACCCATTGTTTTTTCTTAAACCTTGAATCATGGTGATATTGTAAATATAATCACACTATATACAATAATATTTTGTTCAGACTGTACATGAGTTTGAACTGCATCACTTCACAGTTTACGATACACTCTGACGCGCGTGACACTTCTCGAAGCAGTACACCTCACACAAAGCAACATCACCCTTTTTACAATAGAAGAGCATGCTCCTGCTTTTCTTATTTAGCGAAACACATGACAACGTCTTTGTTTCCCTTTGGTTGGCCAGTGTTGTGAATGTTTCACCTCCAGTGGACTCAGTTGGGCCCCAGATAACTCTGTCCTCCCCAGAGAAACGGCACTGACCGTGATATTTGCCTTGTGCGATTGAAGAATCATCCTGGGGAAGGGGTGTTTCTAGCAAAATCGAATAAATTATGTTGATTGACAAAGCGACGCTCTCACCTATTAATAATACTCGCAAAATAGTGATGCAAAGTAATTATAATACTAGTTGAAAAGAGTGCCAGTCCGACACTGATACCGAAAGTCGCAGTGGCGAAGATGCCTTTTACTCACAAAGTAATACTGGCTCAGTGGGTTTATACATCTTCCAAGACACAAAATAAAGTGATATACAAAGACATATATGACAGTCTGACACTGACTTTTTAACTGATAAAGAAATATTAGACAATCCGACGCTGACTTCCTAACTGATAATTCGCCACTGAAAACCAATCCTTGAATGTGTCACACTTCCTTGAAGGCTCTGGAAGGAATCATATGCAAGCACCGATGAATATTTCCTCATCAGTTCTTGAAACAAAGCTGGGCTATATTTGGCTGACCAGGTCATAAACAGTCATATCTAAACGTAAATAGTATCGAAACCAGTACCGTGATAAACAGTTTCATTGTTCAGAGCTAAGGAATGAACCACTGACATGACCATACATAGTTTAATTTTGGTTTCAAACCCAAGGTCAAACTGTCAGCACTCCCAAAGAGAGCACATGTCGTGCCGCACATATAATATAACATCGGGCCAACTCGGGGTGCTGCTTGCTGCATATATATAACATTCTGCCATTAAAGGTTAACTGAATTGAGCTGACTGTGGATAAATCATAAATTTCTAGGTTCAATAAGAACAGGAAATTTATTGACTAGCTCAAAATGATCCTAACGCTTGGAGCTTGTTTGTTTGTTTGTTTGTTTAATAGCAGATAAACATTCTATGATATACCTCTTGAGTTTGGAAGTGTCAGAACATTTAAAAATTACCTCAGGATATTCAGTTATTTATAAATACAGCCCTCTTTGGTTCGTACTAACACGTATAATATGTGTGTGAATGTAGACGGGGTTTGGATGAGTGAATAGATTTATTGACCACTCTACAGGTCCTAACTACAAATAACTATAGCAATATCACTCTTTTGATGCCTTACAGTGCATTCAGTCTAGTGTTCTCGATCTGTTACTCGTAGACATTTCATGGTAACGGCTCCAACAATGGCTATTCCTCTGCCTCCGGCTCAAGTTCTCTCTCCACAGACCTCCATACAGAACTGACTATCAACTGACCCTGTCCCTTGCTTATAACGTCTTGGCACCGACCACAAGAAAAGCAAAGCTCTTCCATTCTTGTAGTCCAACTGTTGCATCATTAAGAATCTGCTGCCTAGCAATGGGAGTGTTTATATCCACTCATGTCGCTGTCATTGCACAGCAACAGCTATACATGCTATAATTAAACTTAGAGATAGGACTGGACAGCTCATCAGTCAGTGTGTGGAATTTGTGATTGAAAATGCTTTGTTCAGATAGAAAACCTTGTTCCACTGTAATTGTCTGTCAACTTCTGATGTGTCATTAAAGTGGTTATGAATGAAGATTTGGAAGGGATCGTAATGGAAATATCATGTAATATTGTAAGATTACCATTTTGGCATTTCCTTAGAGTAACTGAGGAAGATAGTGAAAAATCTTTGTTGGTAGAACTAGTCCAATTATTTTAGTGGACAGATTACTGAATATATTTTCTTCCATGCAGTATGTGTGCCTCTACATTTGAAATATACCAGTTCAAGTGAATGTGTCCTCAGTTACATGTATATAATGAAACCTTCACATATGAGTATGTAGGACAACCCAAGGTTTTAATTGAAGAGTATGGGGATTCTCTATGCAGAGATGTGAGGGCCCAATTAAATGTATGCTGTTTGCTGGGACCTTTTGAATATTTGTTTTGTTGTAAAGTAGAGATTTAATTGTAGTTGGATTATATTGGTTTATATTTACCAATCTGACATGTGACTTTCAGAGATACCGTGACATTCTAAGGTCATGTAAGATGGGAAAAGAACTTCTCTTCAAGAAACCGTACGTAGATCAAGGGGAAGAAGAAAATCCGCTGGGCAAGGAAGGACACTTGCCATCAGGATCAACGGATATGAATGCCGATCCAGAGGATGGTGACCCAGATGATTTTGAGTTGGATGGAATGGTGGATCTGGAACAGCCATGTAATGTGAATCAGCAGACTGCCATCGCACGGGCAGCAACAAGAATAGCCCTTTACATGATGCGGGAAGAACTTGGAGACCCTGTGTTAGGCGAGAAACAACATACACATGCTCATGATTTCTTTGTTGTAAACTCATGCAAAGTTTATTGTAAGGTGAAACAGCCTCCTTTCAGTAGTTTATATGTAAATGGTAGACAAGACACATTAAAATTAACGAGCTGTGTATCTAATAATACTGCAAGCGATCCAGGCCACATGAATATGGAAGTGAATCAGAGCAACACATCCAGTGGAGTGTGGTCTGATGAGGGGTGCAGAGGGAGTCAAAATGGACATACTGTGGAACAGTGCGATAAACATGTGTTAAGTGGACCAGCACTTGAAAGCAAACAGGAACAAAGTATGGCAAACATAAGCCAAAGTGGAATCAGTTCTCCAAACAATGAGATCTACAAGAATGAAGGAGCAGAAGCTATGAACATTGATCAGACCGATCAGGATGACTCAGATACTGTGTGTAATAATCAGGTGAAACATATTGAAGGGGAACATGCAATGAAAGGAGGCAATGAAAGTAGTCAAGATTTATTGAAGTGTGTTTCAGATCATAACCAAGGTTTTCAAAGTGAAATAAAATACACTGACAGAGATATGGATGCTCCTGTTGCTTCATCAAGCAAGGCTGAAGAGCCGCCTGTACATGACATTTTGTTGCCCATTACATGCAAAGAAGCAATGAACATACTGGAAGAAATCAATCGGTAAGTGTTATCTTTTTTGCTGCACATACAACTTCACATTTCTGTTTTGTCTAACCACAAAACACACCTTTTGTCTTGAGAAAGCTTCCAGGAATTGACCGCACATCATATTCACCCATTAGTAATTGTATATATTGTGCTAGATGCTATCACTGAAAATGTCGTTATTTATTGAAAATGTTTTACATTGTCCAGTGTTGTGACAATAATGAAATATTTATTTGTTAATGAAGACATTTTCCTCTCTTTACATTAGTGAAGAGTGGCAGTAATATGTAAACATTCAGAATTAATACTGACAAATTGATGTTTCAAACAATATTGCACAGTAGCATCAATTACAGAAATCTTGCATGTTTAACATATTTATGAAAATATAAAATTATAGAAGAGCTAGAGTAGAAAAAGCACAATATAATATCCTCAGTCACATAAAGGGATGTATTGAAGCTATCTACAAAGAATCCAGTAAGAGTCTAGATGACTAAACAAATTCCTGTCAGAATTCAAAGTTTTAATGTTAAATGATGCTGAGAAAACCAGTAACCTCATCTCAGCAAATAAATTTGTTCTTGCATATGTTGATAGCTGTTTACCATGTTAGGAAACTATACTCAGTCAATTTTATACTACAGATTTGTAAAAAGAATTCCCAAGGCCAGGTGCTTAGCATATTTGTGTAGATGTGATAACTCTGAAAGAAGAATGGTGAACCAACTTGCAGACAGAATGAGACACATAGAACCAACCTTCATAGTCACCTACAAAAACAAGTTAAACAGAATATTTCACTGTATTACAAAGAACTTTGTCAAGGCTTCAGATTTTCTGCCTGCAGCCAGCAAAGTCTTGTCATAAGTAATGGAAGAGACTTGTTAATTTCTTGAAGTCTTTATAATTGAAAAACATGGTCATGAAGCATTTGGTTCTATGAAGGCTATGCTCTTTGTAACTAATTTAAAGATAATACTTTACAGCAATCTCTTGGTGTCCGATGAACATGTAACAGAGGAGGAAGTGAACAGAGTATTCATTCTGTCTGGAGCAACAGATGGAGACTGGAAGAAGGCTAAAGACATTCTGGCCTTTGTTATGGAGAAGAAAGAGATTGGAGCTACAATAAAGGAGATAAGGGTACAGGCTAATAATTTAATAATGCAACCTGTCAGTGTAATTTTTCCCATACATTTTTATTTACAATTGCTGTCTGTCATTTGGCTTCTTGATGGTCCTCATTTTTGCTATTCTTTAATTTTTTTTATTGCTAGTGGGGTGGGACTAAGTTCCTTGTACTGCAGCCACTTCTGGCCTATTGTACCAGCCCCAGATGATAGGTTAGGGTGATTGTGGAGCAATTGGTGGAATGAAGATTGACAGGGGAGACCGAAGTACTCGGAGGAAACCTGCCCCAGCGCCACTTTGTCCACCACAAATCCCACTTGACCAGACCCAGGATCGAACCCAGGCCACCACACTGGGAAGCCAGCGACTAACCGCTTGAGCTGTGGCATGGCAGAGTCTTTCATCTATATAAATATGTTTAAAATTGTGCTTTTGTAGACTTGAGAATAGAACAGTTGAATTACAAGGTGAACTAAAGAGAGACATATCAGTTTAAATTCCATAAATTAGCTTAAGTGCTCAATACAGGTAAATAATTTTATTTATAATTTTTGCTGTATTCTTGGGAGGATATGTAACTATCAGTAGTAACTTTGAAGTTCGGACATTACAGAAAATTTGAACACATGAATGGAGGCCCATAATGCATGCAGAAATGCACTGTTTGGTATGTTGTTTCAGCCATAGTAATTATTAGTCAATTTTTCTTGCTGATACAGTGACCTGTGAATGTTGCTGGGAAGTCCTTGGAGATTTGCTCCCATTTCTCCAAGGAGCAGATATTTAGTTTCATGAAAAATACTTCCAACAGGATGGAGCTCAACTGCATACGGCAAATAAAATTTTTGATGCTCTCATTGAGCTTTTTGGCACACACACACACACACACACACACACATATATATCTGCCAGTTAGTGTAAGAATTGTTTGCAACACACAGACATGAAGATACCATGAATATGTAACTGTTTTTAAAAAATAAAGATAGTATGCTGGAAAGTATGCTGTGTATGAAAATTAATAACAGTGCAAGACCCAGCTCATGAAGATCAAAAGCTGTATGCTGATGAGACCAAAAACAAAAGCATCGAGGCCAGTGTGACATGGTGGTGCTGTTCACTGCTAACCACAGATGTCACAGTTATGTCCCCTTGAAGAAGAAGAAGAAATGTGACATGCAGCCATTGCTAGGCAGTGGTGTGGTAAACACATTTCTGGGGAAATGAATAAACATGCAGCAGCAGAGGATCTCTTGGAAACGGTGTTTTCTGTGTAGTTTGTGCCAATAATTTATAGTGAAGACCTCCAGCCATGGTCAGTTTTCTTCTTTTGAGTGTTTCTGGGAGAGTCCCTTTGGGCCGATCCTCCTGAGATGGATGATACCTGTGTATTTTGTTGAATGTCCTCCATCTTTTCATGATTGTTCTCCGTCTTGACTTCCAGCCTTTCCATTATGGGTACCAGACATTATAAATCTATCATGTATTACCAGTCAAAAAATGAACAATGATATAAGTCCAACAATCAATCTACTCCAATACAGTCAAACTTCTAACACCATTTGTCATGTGTTTGTGACTAGACATGGGGTTTGGATTGATAGCTGGAATTATTGAATGCTTATTACTGTAACTACAAATAACTATAACACTCTGACTAATTTGTGCTCTGTAGATTACTACAACTACAGCACACATAAAGGTCTTCTGTTCATTCACTAGTCATCGCTAGGTAGCAGCTGCTAATGCAGCTAAACACTGCTAACTGCCTGCTGTGACCTCTGACTACCTACCTTTTCCTGTTGGTCCTCACTGTATAGCCTTGGCATGGACTGCACAGACAACACTGCTTCCAAGAGTGTCTCTATTGGCATGTGTTTATTTGTTGCTGCAGAAACATGTTTACTGTGCTGTTGCCTATCAGTGGCCACATGTGATTGTTCCACTGTACCAGATTTCTGTCATCATATCACAATAGTTTCCCATTGTAGAATTTTTGGAGACCCCCAAGTCCCTCATGTCGTTGTTTGAGATCCCCTACACTATGAACGAAGTCCTGTTCAGGTGTGCCAACTGTCTGTCAGCAAATTTCCACTCATCTCATGAGGTGTATATTCTTATTGTGTAGGCTTCAAAATAGAGGGGTTAAGTGAAGCATGACCCCCTGATCAAAGATGTTAGGAACTCCTACATGATACGAAGTAATTAAATAAAAATTAATATTTATACACATAACAGTAATTTCTTATCTTGCAGAAGAATTTCAGAAAGCCCAAATCTCCGATGTCACTGGCTGAGGTCCTAGCATTATTGACCAAGTCCAGGTCATTGTATCGTTCAGGTGTGACAACTGTGCATTACATATATCATATGTTCATGAAACCTTGGCTGGTCCATTCGTACAAACTGTTGCGACTGGAACGTGAGAAACAGCAGCCTCCACCACAACAAGCTGTAATGAACGTGGCTGTTCAGGACAACCATGAAAGTTCTGAGAACACACATGAAAGGATACGTGCCTGGAGGCGTCGGAAATTGCTTGCTGCTTCTCGGGAAGTGGAACGAGCTGTGCAGACCGTACAGTTAAGGTAAGGAAGGACTTTCGTAAGTAAGTGACAAAGTAAAGGTATACCTGTAACAGGCTGTGGAGGCCCATAGGGTTGTGAGATGTTGAGGTTCCCACATTTTCTCTAGGCAGTCGGTCCATAGATGGTGGCAAGGTTGCCAGCCGTATGTGCCAGCCATCATTTACCCCCCAAGGATATTCCTGGTACTCATTTCTGTTAGAGGCTGAGTCAACCCCAGGGCCGTAGTGTGGCTGGAAGGATTACATCAATTGAAGAAAACCCAATGACCTCATCGAGACTTGAACCCATGACCTTCCGGCTTGTAGCATAGTGCCTCAACCAACTACGCTACCACGTGCTCCTCAAGGAAGGACTTTACAAAGCTGTATTTGTTCAGTGGTTTCATTAACTGATGTGCTGGAACCTGTGAAGTTGACCATCTGTTATAATTAGTCACATATTTCTAGAACTGTCAACATATTATTAGTGTGTAATATGACCATCTCTCTTTAACCTGGTCACCTGTTTATGTTTTATCTTATTCAGCTTCCAGCATTTCTGTACATATTTTAATTTTTCTATATTGGCCACACAGAAAAATGACTGACTTTTTGTATCAGTCTATAAATGAACACTTGAGTACTTTTAAGAGTCCTGTCTCAGATGTGACACCACATTGTCTGATAGAAGTTTACTCTAATTAGTAAAATTGTGCATTCTGCTTGAAGTGAAAGAAGTAAAATGAGTAAAACATTGAGCATAAGAAAGTAAGTAGTTTTGGACTTGCTACATAAATGTGTTACTCACTAGTTTCATGTGCAAAGTCAAAACCTGGAAACATTAACAAGCACAATAGTGTCATGCTGAAGGCTTAGGAGAGAACTTCAGCAGCAAAAAGACACAAATTACATAAAACAGACAACAAATCTGTTAATATCCCCATTCTGAAAATTTTCCAGATATGTCCTGTCATGTCATGTCATGTCATGTCATGTCATGTCATGTCCGGTTGACATGACTCTTAATTTGGCGAATATCTGAGTAGAAATGGTAATCACTAAAGACATTTTCTGTAAGTAGGTCATGTTTGGGTTGTACCGCAAGTGGCCAACATAGGTGGGTTTCACTGTATATATCTCTAAGCATTCTGTGCACAAGACTGATTAAAAGAAATACATAGTGGGGAGGTCATGTCTGTCCAAATCTTTCATCTCCAAAACTGCTTCATGGATTTTATTGAAATTTTGTATTGGGTGTTTACATTAAATGTTTGGTGAGTTTAGTTTTGATGCATGTTTGTGCAACATAATCTTTGCATGAAGCCAGCACTGAACTCTGATTTTCTCAAAGATGGTTCATTATATATATAGCTATATAAAAAAGTTTATAGCATAAAATGTAGATTGCAGTAAGTTTTACAGCATTTATTTGAAACAATTTTCAGTATGGCTATACTACGAAAAGGAAATGATAAGCATAGTTCACTGTGGCTACTGTCTGAAACATTTGAAAATTGTCATTAGAACATCAAGTAATTACTGTATTATTTACTCGTCAGACAGATGGGTATATTCAGTATGACAGAAGGCTGAAGAGTCTTGCAAGGAAAATAAGTTGTTAACTATCCAGCAGTTACCTGCTTTGACTAAACATATTTTGACATGTTGTGCAACGGAGAACCCCTCCCTACCCAGCAGCAACGTGGCAACTCAGGCCACAGTGACATGGCGGATGAGTCAGCACTCCCCTCCCCCCTCCGCACGGTATCGTAACATGCAATGCGCGGTGACGTAAGATGGCGTGAGGTAACAGTGTGGCTACGTAACAGGCCCACACAGTCCGTATATAAGAGAGCTGCGCTGCCTGCGAGTAGTTAGTTGTAACGTAGCAGTCACCGAGTTAAGTAGTAGTCAAGCCAGTGTGTTATCAACAGTTCTCAAGGTAGCAACCTGCGAGTTGAGTTGGAATATAGCAGCCGTCGCGGAAAGAAGAACCGTACTTGTGTGTGATTGTGTAATTGGGAGCGTGTGATACAGTGATACCTAGCTCCCCTACTGTAAACGTGTAGACTACTGAAGACAGAGTGAACTGATTTACACATAGGGTTATAAATTATGAAACCCCGCAACAGTGTTAACAGATTAATGCGATTAGGGTTATAAAGTGTGAAACCCCGCAACTGTGCGATAAGGAATTGTAGCCGAGATTTGTAGGTTGTTAAATAAACCAATTAACGATCTCTATGGCGTATACAGTGACCCAACACGTTACAATATTTTATACAGACAGCAATAACTGTAGTACTAATGATTCTGACAGGATATTCTGAACTCTGATAGATGGTCTCAGAGTGTTGGGGCATGCACTTTGGTCATTCTTATGTCATAATCTTACATTCATTGGCGGTCATTATGTCTGAACAATGCAGTATGCCATTGTGTCTAGGAGAGACTGCTTTGGCAATATTTCATTCTAGTGAAAGTTTTCATATACAGGTACTGAACAACACTCATGCTGAACTTTGCAGACGGTTTGAATATCAGTTGTTTGTGTATTATCATTTTAATTTTTGTTAATATTGTTGGGTGTTAGAGTGACTCTCGACTGGGAATGGCTTAGTAACTGGATTTATTGAACACCTCCAGATTGTCACTACAAGTCATTATAGCATTATCTCTAAATCACACAAAACCACGTCTTCTCGCTACACCACTTACCGAGTCTTCTCAGTTTTGTTTTCACTAGCTGTTTCCTTGTAATGAATCCTAACAATGTTCTCTGCTTACATCCTTGCCGGCTGGCAAATGTCTCACAACTGACTAAACTCTAACTTGTCCCACTTATAACCCCTCAGCACGGACTGTGTAGAAAACACCACCTCCAGCAGTTCCTGTATTGTTGCACTAGACTCATTGCCTTGGAACATGTTTATTTTCGAAGACATTACTCAGCAATGGCTGCATATATTTGCTTATTAAGAATCGGTTGCCTAGCAGTGGATGTTTCAATGCTTGCTTCACTGTTGTTACCCAGTAACAGGTCTACACACTATAATATTAATTGTATTAGGATGATTCCTGATGTAATGTCTCTTGAAGTCTTTCAGAAATTCTGTTCAACTTATTTACATGACATGTATAGGAATATGGTGACCTCTTTTGTGTTTATACATGTGATTAATTTGTTGGTTGTAGTGGATCAGAGAAGATACACGTAGCAATCAGACCATGGGTCCGAGTGGATGGATCTCTCAACAGGCGAGTTCTTGACCGCATGCTGGGGTCAGTTCTAGGTCATTCCATGAACACACCTGGAGTCTCAATCAAAGATATAGCTGACCACTTTAGTCCAGCACTGCAGCCCTACCAAGTCAGGGAACTAACTGAGGTAATAATTGCAAGATAACCAAGATACAGATGTCACTGATGTGCAAGCAGTTTGGGAAGCAAAATTGACAATGTATGCCGTGACCAGTAAGATAATACCAATAAATTACATGGCATGATAATGACAAGCTGTAATTATATTGAAAGTTAACGAAGAACATTGCTCTGTTTGTACTTTATCAGCCATGTAGCTGTTTGATATCAATTTGTGTTTAGCGCATTTGTAAGTGAGAATAACAATAGGGCATATTTGCATGTCCATTGTAAGAAGCAAGAGATGTTCTGTGGATAATATGTCACTAACCTGGGGCGTGCTGTTGATGGGGGATGCCAATGTTTATAGAGCAATGGGGAGAGTGTGTTCAGAGCATCCAGGTAGGAATTAATCACAATAGAAATTGAATGATATGTACACTGATAGACTATATATTGTCTTACCAGTAAGTCTGTAAATGAAAGTGGGTCTCTGAACCTGATATTCAGAAAGTCATCTTCAGTTTCAGACTGAGTTCAGTAGTTATGAAATTCAGATTGAGTAGTGTTTATTATTACTCTGTCAACAAATCCATGTATGGACACACTGCATGTTTTGGCCTATTGTGGCCATCATCAGATACACAGAGCCTTTCTTTCTGTTATACCTCCCTACACTGGCCAGGGTTTACACACTGGGAGTGTGTTCTACAGATATGTTGTTTATATAATGTCCTTTTGTTATGAAATGTATTAAATATTAACTCTTTAATTTTTTGTTAATATTATAGTATTCTAATTGGAATTAAAATTACATTGGGTTAAGAAGTGTATATATACATATACAGGGTGTCCCAGGAGGAATGTGCCAGACTTCGGGAGGGTGTTCCTTATGTTAAAGTATGCCGATATAACCCAAAACACCTATGTCCAAAGTTGAACGGTTACGGAGATAATGGCCAGAGAAGTGTGAAACTTTGACAGGTGTTACACACTTGTTGATTAGCAAATACATATTACAACTGGCAGGAATATGTGGTTTCTGTAATGTTAATAATGTACATAACATCAAACTAACTTGTGAGAGACATGAAGCCATTAAATTGAACTACAAAAAAACTCGCATGACATGTCATAGTTGTCCTTAGGTTTCCAAGCATTATACATGACACATGCATGGCAAGCGCTGACGTAACATGGCTGACTGCACATTCTTGTATAAACTGACTACATAACTACTAAAATACAGTACCTGCTTTATACTAATTGTTCAAAGTGTCCTCTGCCAACTGCAGTGTCTTCCAACAAACATGGTAACTCACTCCTCAGGAAGGCTTAATACGTGTTTCCAGTTAAATTTCTGTGAAACACAAAAGGTCCGAACAACCTGTTCCCAAGCACACCACACCATACATTCACAGAAAATCTCTTTTGGAATTTCGTTACCATTATCTCATGTGGATTATTATGGGACCACGTACGCACATTTCATAAATTATTTACACCGTCCAGGTAAAAGACGCCTCCTCACTGAATAAATGACGCTTAACAGTTCGGGATGAGCTTTTATCCAGTGACAGAAATCCATATGCTGAGCATGGTCGCCTGGTTCCAGATGTTGTACCCTTTGATCATGATAAGGATACAACTCTTCATCATGTAAAGTTAGCCACACCTGCATACGTGATATGCCGATGCGAGAGGCCATTCTACGAGTGGACAGATGTGGACTTCTCTGAACCATCTCAAGAATGTTCTCTCGTGTGTTTCTCATTCGTACATCCTCCCTTTCAGAGTGCACAGAAACGCTTGGAAGAGAACCAGTATCACGCAATATCTGGCGAATTCGCGTAAATACACTTCGAGATGGATCTGTTGATCCATTGGCATTCTTCAACAGCAGCACATGCATTGCCACCGCAAAATCCATACACAAAATGCATATCACAATATTCCACGTGTGAAAACAAAAAAGGCATTTCAGCAACTCTGCACAACTAATTTACCATCCATTCACAACACGGCCGCAACGTACCCTGAAGGTAACACATAAGCTTACGGCTAGTGTGAATCACCACACTCAAGGACAAACATAGATAAGACTTCTCAGCTGACAGGTACAGTGCGTGGACCCGCCAGAAGACCACACTTTTCTCAGGCCATTATCTCCATAACCGTTCAACTTTGGACATAAGTGTTTTGGGTTATATCGGCATACTTTAACATAAAGAACACCCTCCCAAAGTCTGGCACATTCCTCCTGGGACACCCTGTATATAAAATTCTTCTCTTTCTGTTATGTCCCTTTTGCTTTGTGTGGCAGGATGTTTAGGTGGTGCTCAGTAACGTGCATTCTTGTTTAGCATGGGAACCTTCCTATGATCTGAAATATGAATGTGTTATTAGTATGTGTATTATAGGTTTGTATGTTGGGTATGTGTTTTATGTTGATTTCCTTTCTCTATGTTGGCCTGTATGGATATAATGTGTTATTTTCATGTTCTTTTCTTCCCGCGGCCTGCCCAGTACACAACCTATGGTAACAAAATTTGTATTTCAGGGCAGCCTGTGTTAAGAAAAGAATGTGAAAACAACGCATCACATACCCATAGGTCAACACACAGCCAAGAAATCAACATACACCCTGTACCGAACATACAGACCTATAATACACATACTAATAACACATTCATTTTTCAGATCATAGGAACAAGAATGCACATTGGCAAACACCACCTAAAAATCCTGCCACACAAAACAAAAGGGACACAACAGGAGAAAGAAAAAGAAATAAAGATGTATATACACTTTTTAACACAACTTACTTACTCATGGAGCTGAGCCCTTCTGGAGGAGCTGCCAATTCTGCAGCTACTCAAGAATTCCCCAGCATTTTATGGAACCAGAAAGTTCATTACCATGTTCACAAGAACCCTCCACTGGCCCCTATCCTGAGCCAGATCAATCCAATCGATACCATCCCATCCTATCTCTCTAAGATCCATTTTAATAGTGTCCACCCACCTATGCCTTGGTCTTCCTAGTGGTCTCTTTCCTTCTGGCTTTCCCACCAATATCCTATACGCATTCCTCGTCTCCCCCATTTGTGCTACATGCCCTGCCCACCTCATCCTTCTTGACTTGATAATTCTAATTATACTTGGAGAAGAGTACAAGTTATGAAGCTCCTCATTATGCAGTTTTCTCCAACCTCCTGTCACTTCATCTCTCTTCGGTCCAATTATTCTCCTCAACACCTTGTTCTCAAACGCCCTCAGTCTATGTTCCTCCCTTAATGTCAGAGACCAAGTTTCACACCCATACAGTGTAATTTTAATTTCAATTAGAATACTTTAATATTTAATACATTTCATAACATAAGGGCATTACTTAAACATACCTGTGCAACACACTCCCAGTGTGTAAACCCTGGCTGGTGTATGGAGGTACAGCAGATAGAAGCTCTATGTACCTGATGATGGCCAAAACATGTAGTACATCCAAATGCATGGTGTGTTTACACAGGATTGTGTTGACTGAATAATAATAAACATTGTCTCACACACAACATGCTGTAACAATATAATACTTCAGATGCAATAAATTGAACCCTATAGTTTCATACATCAAGTTAAGCTACAACTGAATTTTTATCCTAACTTTTAAAAGTAATTTTTAATACAATTTCTTCTTTCTGTCTGAAAGTCTGTGTGTTATTTTTTTCAGTTCCTGGGCCCCTGTAAAACTTAAGTTTGTCACTGGAAACCAATACTGAAACCTGTCAGTAAAAGTTGAATTTGGGCTGTAACAGACAATATTGACACTTTGCTTCAGGGTACTGATATATTTTACTTTCTTACAGATGTTGCAAATGCTGGGATGTGTGAAACTGTTAGTGGTGAAGAAATCATGTAGGACAACTCTCTTCTCAAAACCATCCACCGTGAATTTAAGTGAGTGGAAAATTATCATAATTATCCTTATGCTAAATACCTCAGCTTGATGGTTTATAGTAATGTAGAGATAAAGCACCATTTCTTTTTAAGCTCATCACTAAATGGAAGTTAACGGGTAGTTTCTTAGTCTGGTCTTGTATGAGGTGTATCGGAAAGTTCCCAGACTAAGTCAAAAAAGAAATGCTGCCTTAACTTACTCAATTTTGCCTGCCATCTCCTTCAAAATAGTCTCCTAGGGAAGTTATTTTCCTCAATGTTGTCGAGTACCGCTTGCGGTTCCTGAGGTTATATCCAACATATTTAATGTAGGCAGAATCTGTCCTTAAATAATTTTTTTTCTCAAAAGAAAATGAGGAAGAGGGTAATGACAACAAAAATCCTTCACTTTTTCAAGCAGTAAATGATCCTGGCACAAGTGAGATTCAGTCCTATGACCATGTCGACACAAACCTCATTACACTAACCCATAAACTGAACATTAACAACACAGGTTTCATAGGACTGGGATTCTGCATTAGGAAGGTGGGTTGTATGAAGTCATCTTGTTAAATTGCTGTCTATCCTTTCTAGAAAACAGTGATCTTGTTGTGTATTGACAGGCCCTGCAGATGGGACAGAAGATGAAGCAAAAATTGTCATAGAGCCACAACCAGATGCAGTTCTGAGGCTGGGCCAGTTCATTGGTGACAAAACCTATCTCCGTGATTTTCTTAGTTTATAAGTACAAGGTATGGAGGCAATAAAGGTAGTATGTTAATAAGTTGATCATGAGTTTTTTTTTCTTTCCATTGTATGAGGTCTAACAGTAAGTGGGGTGTTACTGGAAGACTGTCTCATCCTCCTCCTCCTCCTCCTCCTCCTTCTCCTCCTTCAACTCCTTGACAGGAAGCACTTTTGTGAGGGCACATTATCATGGTGCAGGATACACCTGTCACGGAACAGTTCTCACCTCACATGATGAGTATGCTCTCTCAAACATTCCAAAACTTGAAAATAAAACTTCTGTTTCACAGTCTGGTTGAGTGGAACAGACTCTGTATGCACTATGCCTTTGCAGTCACAGAAGCAAATCAACATTTTCGTGGCTTTTGAGTTTGACAACCTTGCTTTCCAGGGCCAGGGTGAGCCTGGAGATTTTCCCAGTGTGCAATGTTGCTTTTTCCTCAGGGTCATTCTGAAACCCCCAGACTTTCATCCCCATTGGTGATTGTTCAGCCACTCCAACTCTGAACAAGAATTTCATGTTGATTCTTTGTTCAAAATATTTATTACCCATTTTCATGATGAGCTGTCCAAACACTACTTAAGTTAAATACAACAGCCCTGCACTCACTGGACTTGTAAAGACCAGTTTGCTACTTGATAGAGCTCACAGGTGGCAGCACTTGCCATCAACCACAGAATGATTCATGCTTTGCATGTTGCCAGGATCGTTATTTAATTGTCAAAACTTGTATATAAAATGTTCAACTACTAAGTATGATTTTTATAATTCTACCTAAATATTTAGAGGATCTTGTCTTCAATTTGTAAGATAATATATCTTAGAAACACTTCCGGGAGCAGTGTAACAAGTTCATGTTGCCGAATTTTATTAAATTTATTTCCATGTTCATTGTTTTATGCTTTTAGCAAATGAAGGGCACGTTATTCTAAGAACTACAGCCAAAAACAACACTGAAAATAAGAGGAACCAGGATTCTGGTTACAGTCTTACCATTTTGAATAATGATGATCCACCAAATTTTCTGTTGTTTAGAAATTCACCTGAAATACTTATGTGTATACATACGATGCTTTTATCAACCAATATGCATACCAACCAACAAGTGATGTGTTCCGGAACACTTGTCAGAAGTTTCAGTACTGATTTCAGGTGTCTTAATGACAGTAATTTTGTTTTCAAATTCTGGTATTGGCAATGCTGATTCTGCTTTCTCTGCACCTGAAAATTTTAGTTTTTACTTTCTCATATAGATATTCAGCCCTGTATATGATAAAGGATTGTGATTGTAAAAAATTTGCATTTAGTAAAACCATCTGTCACATCTTCAGATATTGTGTCTGGGAGTGGAAGTTAAGGTCAGAGTCTTGTGACATGCAGACCCTTTGCTAGGGAACACCTCAGTAAACAAGCCCGCAACAAATACTCAACCAGTAATAGAGTAGACCCATTTCTAGGCAAACCCCTAGTACATGCATGCAACAATAGAACTGAAGTCACAACAGGTTTTTTCTGTGTGATTCGCATATATCCATTGCTGGGCACAGGATGTTTTCGTGCTGTAGTCGAACCCGAGACGATATAATGAGAAGCCAGCTATAATTGACAGTCAGTTGTAGTTCATATCAGAATTGAAGGAGTACAGCAGAGTTCAGTTGGAAGTCAGAATAGTTCCCGTGGAGTGACCAGTCAGAAGAAGATGACAGTGCGTTAGTAATTTGTGAACTGTTGTAACCAGCTGTATAAAGGTCCAATAAGTTGATCATCAAATCCAAAACCTGTCTTATTAGTC